TCTCTATTTGTCTTTCTTTTGGAAAGGTGATTATCAAATAAGCCGTAAGAAAACTCTGGGTACTGTAATATGAGGGACTGGAGGGCAATGTGAAGACAGAATGAGTGAATGGAACTCAGTGATGAGACAGTGTTGCTCCGTGAGTAACTTGTTATCTATGGAAACTACCAAAAAGAACGTCTAAACACGAGATGATTCATGTTCACAATACTGACAGTGCCATAGCTACAGCTGGATGTGTAATCCAACAGTCTACACAGATCTACCCACTCTCTGTGGTTTCTTTAAAAATTTACCGGGAGAATGAGACACGAGGAAAGGCCAAAGTGAGTCTCCCTGAAAGACGCCACCTGCTGGTGAGGAGAGGATTTCTGCGTCTCCTACCTTCTCTGCTCTTTCCCCATACTTACTCCAGAGTACAAAGACAAGAAAAAGTCAAAGACTTTTCAGCAAATAATGCTGAGTGTCAGCTGAAGGGAAGTAAATACAAGACGGTCTGGGTTCCCAGGTCCTGGGGGCAGATGTCTCTGGAATGAAAACGACAGTTAAGAGATGCTCTAAAATTGGAACATTTCAACATAATTACCTACTTATCATGCCATCGGAGTTCATCTGAGAAATATGCCTTGGTATTCACTTTGAATTCAGGAATCCTCTGTTTCCTGTTTTTAGTAGTTTTAGTAATTTTTTTAAAAAATTACACTATGATATAAAAGTTTACATATTCTAAAGGGACAATAAGGTAGCCATGGAATATAATCTTTAAGATATAAATAATCATCTACAAAAGCATAGACTTAATTACTTAAAACCATCTTGATTGAGGCTTAAGGAGCCACTTAAAATATTGTGGAACTTAAACACCATCAAAACCGTTTACGTCTACAGCTGTGCCACAGCTATGTTTAAGGCGTTCCATCTAACAGAGGCACAACTCATCAGCGGAGGAGAGTGTTCAGAGAAACCATCTAACTGCGCCAACAACAACATCTGTGCAACTCATAAAACCCTGTGAGATAATTCAGCTGCATGAAATTAAAGTCAGTTTTCATTGCTATCTCCTATTGAACTGCAAAATGGATTATAACACCACTTAACTAGATATATCTTAATGAAGTAGGCATAGAGGCTTGTTTTTTAACTAAAAGTTATATTTAAACATATCATTTTGAACTTTCAGTAATTAGAAGACAGCTTATAAACAATAGTGGTTTGGCCTTTAACTTGAGCACTGTTTTAGTTTTATTAATAAATTTAAGCATAGTAAAAGAGAGGTTACCTTAGAACTATCGATTAAAGGAAGTTTTCTGACCAGCCATGAACTCAGTCTTCTGAGTTGTCTGTTACAGAATGAAAAACACACTGTGATATCAATGTTTATGTCACTTTGCATTTTTTAAACTATAGACACTAAAACTAAGGGTTAAACCTGTCTTTGATTGAAGATACATTTGGCAAGAGATACCTCAGTTGTAGAATGAAACATAAATAAAGGATTATTGAAAAATTTATAACAAATCATTGATTTAAAATCTTTTTTTTTTTTCCCAAGAGGAGTAGGTCTTACTGATAGGTAAGCCATGTTTTCTGGACTAAGGAAACAATTAAAGCTTCAATCTAGATATTTGACATTCAAATTTAGGCAATTGCAACCATGAAGGATGGTTTATTTCCTTTTAATATCGTTGACTTATTATTTTCAAGTAATAGTCAATTATTCATTTCCCAAGATCATATTATGAACATTATTTTTATCGCTTATCAAATAGCTTTCATCTTTTGAGATAAGGGAGCCATATTAGGGTTTGAGAGACTCAAATTAGACCACATATCTGGTGAGAACCACTGGCACAATGTCCTCAAAAGTATTACATTTTTGGCAAACTATATTTTTAATTAAGAGAACTAAATCTTTAAAAAGCAGAACTCTGTGATACTTCTAAAGTAGAAAAACCCATGCATTTAGCCAAAAGTTATAGGTATCAGTGCTTCATTAGAATAAAAAAACATGAGCTAAAGGAGTAGGGCACTAGCCCTATACGCTGGACATGGTGGGTTCAAACCCAGCCCTGGCCAAAAAAAGAGCTAAAGTAATAAAAAAAATACAGATCAGTTCTGAAAATGAGGACTCAAACATGCATACTTAATCTGAAATAAGAATTGTATTCAGAAGCCATGGATCACAGATCATAATGTTTTATCAAAACAAATTCATTTTTATGAAATTTGTGTACAAAGATTTAGAACTTTCTGTATAAGGAGTATAAAGAAACCAAGAGTGACTCTAGAGTTATGTGCAACTATGGATGCAACCCCCAGTCCAACATGAGGGACCCTTGAATATGTCTGACCCAAACTTTTCCTGTTTGATGAGGAAACTGATGAGGAGACACAAGAAAGAGCAATGTGGGTGCACAGTGAACACTAAAAAGTGCAGGAGGTCAGGTGGCATTCGACAGGCATAAATATTGATGAAAAGCCAAGAGTGCTGTCAGCACAAAGAAGCAAAAGAATGAGAGAACAAAGATAAAGAGATGAGAGACAGAAAGAGAAAAGGAGAGAACAGGAGAGGGAGGGAGAGAGAGGGAGGGAGCAAAACATCACTCCTGTTGTTTCTGACACTATTCAGTAACTTAGTTTCAGTTCAGCTGTAACTCTTACCCTGAGTTCCATGAGATTCTAGTAAATACGAAGATTCCTTTACTTACACTAGTTTTAGAGGCTTTATAATCCTTGCAGGCATAGTATTCCTGAACAAGAAATTATAATTTATTTATATTTGTGCTAACTTGCACATTTTCTATCACAGACAATTATCTTATTATGCATATGTTGCCATGGGCTTAGTTAACATTCAGGCAGTATAGCTAACTTTTAAAAGAACCAAGAGTTTGACCTAAGACACCAAGAATCATGATGAAATAGTCCTTTGGATAGATAGTCAAGGATTTTATGCGCAAGACTTTATTGAAGTGTTTGCTTATTTCTTGTTCTATTCTAAAAAAGAATTTAAATGGAGTTGGATTACTTGTTATATGTAAATGAAGCTGACAATCGATCAGCTATTAGCTTTTACAAGCACTGGGCTGAACGCTAAGCCTACAAAAACACACAGCTGGCAATTTACAACCTGGTGTGAGAGATAAAATATACACATCAGACATTATCTACTTTAGTGGCAAACAAATGGCTTAGAATAGATAAAGAGTTCAGGGAAAGGAAGATGTCATTTTCAGCAAAGGTGGTCCAAAAAGGTTTTAGTTGTCCAAAACAATTAATTCACATAGTAAATATTTATTGAGCACAATCAGTAGCCAGGGGATGTTTCTATACTAGAATGCCAGTAAGTAAATAACGCAATGTTCTTAAATGCAAAAATGTATCAGAGAAGTAAATTATTACAGTGCAGTGTGCCGAATGCCATCATTCAGGTATTAATATCATACTGTGGGGGTTCAAAAGAGACAGCTACTACTTGTCTTTAGAAAGTTAGGGATGGGCTTGGCACCTGTGGCTCAAGTGGCTAAGGCGCCAG